TAACTGTTACCATGTTTGGGCCCACTGTGGCAGCCACGGTATCCATCTGTCTCGCTCATGGTCTTCCTCTCTCTCTCCCTCCCTTTTTTTAAAACTGGCATTCGACTCTACTGGGCAAGATGCCTTTCTCCAGGGACCCATCTCTCCTGATGTCCATATGTGCTTATGGGCATGCTCCCACTGCCCAAGTCCATTCCAATTGATTCGTAGGACCAAACAGAACTCCACAGGGTTTCTGAGGAGCTGACTGCCTCATCTTTCTCCCCAAGATGAGCTGGTGGACCCAAACCACCAGCCTTCTGCTTAGTAGCCCAACACTTTACACTCTGCACCACCCGGGCTCCTATGGGCATAGGAGCCCCCTTTAAGTCCTGCATCACCCTCCTTTGCCTTTTGCGCCTTCTCGACTGCCTCTATTCCCCATGCTTAGTGCTACTTTTCTCCTCCCTGTCCCACCTCCCTTCAGCCAGCCCCCCACTGGCATCCCCAGAGGGTCAGACCAGTGCTAAGCAGGAGCAGAAGTGAAGGAGACAGAACATGCTGTCTTCTGAGTAAAACCAGTTACCCGGAGACATATCCTCAAGCGGAAAGGCCACAGAGTTCCATCCACAGCAATCATCCGTGCCCTCCTGGGGCTGGAAGGGAGGTGTGAACTCATACTAGCCCGCTCTGCCTCTCCCTGGGCCCAGGTCTCCTGTGGGAACGTGGGAGCAGGGTGTCCTGCCATGGGACAGGATCCCCTGGGGGGCTTGGGGTCTCAGATGGGACAACGGGGAAGGTGCTGCTCTGGTCATTAACCTGCTGCAACCACACCTATCCCAAACCACAGTGACCCTACAGGACCCAGTAGAGCTGCCCCTTTGGGTTTCTGAGGGGTAACTCTTTATAGGAACCCAGAACCTCCTCTTTCCCCTGCTGTGCGGTTGATGGTTTCAAACTGCAACCAACCCACTTTGGGTGCAATTCATTCTGACTCTGCAGAAGTGCCCCAGCATCAGGGCGTCCACCCCATCTGTGCGGCCTTATCAGGGCCCACAGGCCTCTCTTGCCCTGGCCTCATCCTGCCTGTCAGCCCTGCCCCCACACTCTGCCGACAGAGGCAAACGGGGCAGAGGCCTGGGATGAGCTGGTCGTCAGAGGCCCACCTGTATGCCCCCTGTCGCTGCCTCCCTATGGGCCCAGACTGGGTAGCCAGTCCCTTCCTGCCTGAAAATGCGGCCCGGTGTCCCCTAAACGAGGGCGTTTGGCTTGGGTGCATCTACTGACGCCCCACAATGAATGGGTGAGTGATGAATGAATAAGTGGTCCTGGGCGAGGGGCGCCCCAGGGCGACGGGGAGGCAGGCTTGCGTAGCCCATCAATCCCCTGACTGCTTCAGTGACAGTCAGTACATCTCAGCCCCAAATCCCAAAGTCGCCGCCCAATCGATGAGCTGACTGGTCACCCCGGGAACCCTGCGGCGGGAGGCGGAGACACCGCTTGGCCCCGCCCGCGAGACCACGCCCCCACCAGGCCCCGCCTCACCAGGCTCCGCCTCTCCTCCG